TCCCAATCTTCTTTCATGTTAGGTTATGAGAATAAAATGACATAATGAAAAGAAAGGTAAGGCCGGGTGCTGTGGCACATTCCTATAATCCCATCACTTTGGGAGGCGCAAACAGGATTGCCTGAGCCCAGGGGTTTAAGACCAGCCTGGACAACTTGGCAAAACCTTGTCTCTACAATAAAAATCAAAAAATTAGCCAGGTGTGGTGGCACATGCCTGTGGTTCCAGCGACTTGGAAGGCTGAGGCAGAAGGATCGCCTGAGCCCAGCGAGTCGAGGCTGCAGTGGCCGTGAGCGTACCACGCACTCCAGTCTGGGCAACAGAGTGAGACTCCAACTCAAAAAAAAAAAAGAAAGAAAAAGAAAGTAAAATAGCTACTTTAAACATTGTCCCTCACCTTCCATAGGCCAAAAAGTTGTACTCACAAACATTTGAATCTGACTTCCTTTTCCTCTTTGGCACTGCTTCATTTCATGCCCTCTCTTTGTGCCTGAGTTCTTCAAGTGGACATTGTACTCCTGTTACTCTCTGTTAACTCTTATCTTAGTCTCAGTTTTTTTCCTAGCCAGTTAATTAAAACTGTCTTTAACTTGGTATCATCTAGTCTCTTTGCAAAGTTAATAATAAACCACGTCTCAGCTTTGTGGGCTTCTTAACTGAACATTTCTTGTCATGCCCTCTTGCTTCTCACTCCCATGACCTAGGAATCCAGGCCGCTCCAATTACTCTCACAGAACAGTTCTCCCTGTGTTCTTTGAGGGCCGCCACCTCTGTTTAATGAATAATCTTGCTCTTCTTGTTATCTTTTATTTTTTATTTATTGATTGATTTTGGTTTAGAAATGGGTATTCCCTGAGGGCAAGTACTGTGGTGTCTTGAACATCCAGTGTGTTCAGTAAATTTCACCCACAGAGTCATTATAGTCTGAGATTATTATGCTAAAATACCAGGGTTTTTCCTTCCTTCCTTCCTTCCTTCCTTCCTTCCTTCCTTCCTTCCTTCCTTCCTTCCTTCCTTTTTTTGTCATAGGCACTTGTCCTGTGAAAATACCAGTTTTAAATGGTAGTTCTCCCTTAGAATAAAAATGGCAGTTTAGGCCTATAATCCCAGCAATTTGGGAGGCGAGGCGAGAGGATTGCCTGAGACCAGGAGTTCGAGACCAGCCTGGGCAACTTGGTGAGACCTCATCTCTACAATAAATCAAAAAAATTGACCAGGCATGGTGGCTTGCATGCCACTGCACTCTAGCCTAGGCGTCAGAGTGAGATTCTGACTCGCAAAAGAATTTGAAAAAAAAATTCAAAGTATATTTCTGAATAAACCTTTTTTTTTTTTAATTTGGATTTTTGTTTTGTTTTTGAGTTAGTGTCTCACTCTGTAACCCAGGCTGGAGTACAGTAGCACCATCACTGCTCACTGCAGATTCAACCTTCTCCTCAGGTCATTCTTCTGCCTCAGCCTCCCGAGTAGCTGGGACTACAGGCACATGCTACCGCACCTGGCTAATTTTTTTATTTTTGTAGTAACAAGGTCTCATTATGTTGCTAGGCTAGTCTCAAACTCCTGGGTTCAAGCAGTCCTCCCGCCTCAGCCTCCCAAAGTGCTGGGATTGCAGGCATGAGCCACTGCGCCTGGCCTCTGAGGAAATGTTAAAAGGAATTTCTAAAATAACCTGCTTCTTTTGGAACTTTAGATTTCTTCCTCCGTCTACAAAGCACAGTTTTGCAAAGTACTGTGGCTGCCTACCCATTTTATCTTACCACTCTGTAAATAGACTAGTCATAACCAAAGAGAAATTAGTGATCTCCATATAGCTCAGCATTTATTTTGTCACTCCCCATTCATTCATTCACTGAGTACTTATTGGTCACCTGCTGGGGGATACAGTGGTAAATCAGACAGCCTTGGTCTCTGCCCTGATGGGACTAAGGATAGACCTTCAATCTAGCTGAGAAAACATTCACCAAGTAATTGATAGAGTGTCATGAAGATTGTTGATCAGGCAAAACAAGGTGCTAAGAGAACACATCTCAGGGGCACCCACCCTAGTCAAGGGGCCAGGGAACATTTCCTGAAATGATATTTAAGTGGAGACCCACAGGATATGCAGTTAGCCAAATAAAGGGAGGGAAAATAAAAGTGTTTCAGACCGAGAAATAACATTTGAGGCCTCCTTGGAGATACTAAAGAATTTCTGTGTGGTCATATGAATATAGACTAAGAGGAAAGAGAATGGATGAGAACAAGACCAGAGGTAAGTAGCAAGTAGCTTCCTATGGTATAGTCCTAAGGAGGTGTCGATAAATGCCACCAGACACAATGGAAGAATGTAGACTGTATAATGGTAAAGGATGTAAGAAGTTGGGAAAAGGGTCATTCAGATTGGGACATGCTCCCAGACACCCAGTACACACTATCTAGTTCCCTACTACTACTGCTGCTACTACTCACAGAGTGAAGATGTAATATCAGATGTGTAGAGCTCCTGCTTCCCTTTTTTTTTTTTTTTTTTTTTTTGTTTGATGGGGTCTCACTATGTTGCCCAAGATGAGCTGGAACTCTTGGGCTCAAGTGATTCTCCCACCTCAGCCTCCTGAGTAGCTGGGACTATAGGCACCAGCTACCATGCCCAGCCTCCTTTGCATTCTTATCAAGGCCTTGTCATTGTCCGAGTAGTGTGGCTCCACCTGCCTGCCCCTTCAACCAGTACAAGTAATAGAGGCAAGACTGCCCTAACATGCTGAATGTTTCCCATGAGAGGAGGAGGCCAGTTGCCTGGGAGCATCGCCCAGCAGGTCCAGCTGGCTTCATGGCCTTCCTCATGTCTCTTCCTGCAGCCCAGATTTTGTAGAGTGTGGACTTCAAAATTTGTCTACAAGCCGGTCTCAGTGGCTCAGCTTGTAATCCTGCACCTTTGGGAGGCTGAGGTGAGTGGATTGCCTGATCCCGCGGGTTCGAGACCCACCTGGGCAACTT